TGGCTGTGAAGTCTTCATAAACATCACTGAATAGTAAAGGACTCACCCCATTGTGAGCATTTCCGACGATGGACCCAGCACAGCGAGTACCATGGCTACTTTGGAAGGTAGCACCGTGTACAGGTGATGGATCATAGTCTCCATCGTTAATATCGTAGCTCGCTCTGGGCTCATACCTACCATCTAGGTCGGCGTGTGTATATTCTATTCCGTCATCTATGACACTGACAAGCACATCTTCGCCGTAAAATCCCATATCCCAAGCCTCTATTACATTTAAACCTTGTCCTCTTCCATGTAAATGCCATTGTTTCTCATACAGAGGATCATTCATATCATCCATTGCTTCTACTTCTTTATCTCCGAATCTATTTGTCTTGTTGCCATTTTTGCTTCGAATGTCTGTGTTTATGAAGCTGTCTAATTTCAGTCTCTGTGTGGGGTCAATCTCGGCAAATACTCTGACTTCAGGAATATGGCTACGAGAAACTCTTTTCCGATGTATGCTGTGGGACATGCCTAGCACGCTATTAGTTTGAATAACTAGTAACATAATTATACTTATCTGTTCCTGTACTCTCATCGCGACTGCAGTAGTGTGCTGTAGCTTGTAGTTGTGTATTTAGGGATAGCTGGACTACAACGAACTCATTTGATTGTTGTGGGAGTGGCCATATATGTAGGAACTTTATGTTGAGTTCATTTGCGATACTTGCTGCACTACCACAGTCGTTCCATACGGTAGAGGCGTATATGTGGCTACACATCATGATGGCAATTCGCAAATAATGTTACATGGCGATTTCCAAAAAGTAGAGGAGAAAAAGTCAAAAGAGATGCTTTTTATTTGACTATTATCCAATTAAAGGTCATTTCATTTTTGTCATCAAAATTTTTCTTCTGTTCGGATTGGTCTTCATATTTAAGGTTCCAAAGTAAACTCGTTTCATTGGTTAAATATTCAAAAAATATGATATTTGTGTTTTACAATTTACAGTCCCCCAGTCCCCCTCCTTCTTTTTGAAGTAAATATTTATGTATCGTCGTACATATGTATGACATATACCAGAGGGGGGATTAGTTTAGCTGTTTCAACTTTCAGGTTTTGAGTGGTTTACTATTTATTTTATTTGTAAATAAGAAATATTATATGTTTTTTGTGTTTTTAAAAATAAAAACAAACACAATATGTACGTAAATATGTATGTATGTGTGATTTTTCTGTCATTTAGAGTAGCGTTCTTTTTTATTCAAAAGTAGTAAAAATAGACTAATAATACAGCAGGGTAGTCATCCCTGCACAAACTTCTATTTTTACTTATGCAATTACCTGCAATTGCACGAACTGATCACACAACCGCATACGGGCTTCCTGTACGCTGGATTCACTGGTGGTAGGATTACTATCACATCCCCTTCGTCCTTTTCATTACACTCGATCATTTCCACACCACACACCGCAACATGTTCACATTTCATTTTAACAAATATTGTTTATCGATCCAAGAGATAGAACGTCAGCGACACAAATAAATGTGTAGACATATCACATGCTCTCTGAACTCACGATCACAACTCAACCAAATCCTAAACCAACCAGACCTGAGAACATACAGTTCAAACAGTAGCATGTGTCTTCGCTGTATATGATTTAATTTGTCTTATAGTATTGAAATAGGAAACGCCTCCGTCGTAGAAACCCTCCCTAATATGTAATTATTTGCTTATTTTAAAGATTCTGTTTGACTTGTCCCATCCGCAGAGTGGCTGTCCGAGCTCACCTCCATACTAGCATCCATAATTTGATCCATCTCAGATTCTACATCATCGTTCACCGCTTTTTTCTTGGAGCTACTACATTAACCAATCAGCAGCAGATTGGTTTTTGAATAGGGGTCAATGAGCAGATTGATTTATGATTAGGGACTGAATGAGATTGCAGAACATGGGTCAACGATGCAATTGTCGAGCTTTGTAATGTTGAAACTAAGAATATTGGTGTTTCGGGTGTTTCGCATAAATAAAACATTTATGAACGTCTCATTTTGGTGAGATATTTAATGAGACAGGAGCTGTTCCTGTATGATAACTATATGACTCTCACCTCACAACTTTTAAAATATATTTCTTCTTCATATTTGGGACAAATGTATATATATATATATATATATATATATATATATTATATATACATACATACATACATACATATACATACATACGTATATACATACATACATACATACATACATATACATACATACGTATATACATACATACATACATACATACATACATACATACATACATACACACACACATATATATATATATATATAAACTGCAAAATTCGCACATGCAGTCAGTGGGGCCACGTAGAGAAAAAGTAAAATGACACACACCGCTTTACATCTACGTGAGTATCATCACTCGGATCAGCAATTTCGATCTTTGATTCATCACCGTCGCTCACTTCTACGATCTCTTTGATAGGTGGTTCAATTTTATCCGCGGCGTGCGATATGGGCACTAGTCGATACCGTTCACCTTCGAATTCTTCCTCCTGGCCGAGATGTATTTGCACGAGTAGTTTAGCAGAATAAACAACAATGCTTTGAATACAAACCAACAGGGGGGGGGGAGGCGGAACAGTATATAAAAGAGAGCACAAAGCACAAAAGGAACGTTCATCATGTGAGCCATACGTACTTCTTCCTCTTCCAATGGATCCTGTCCAGGTTTCAGTTTCTTTGCGACACTTATACACAAGAGTGAGTGGAACGGCGCCCTACACATCGGACACTTATTTGACTGATATCGGAGCACCTCTGCACAAGCATGGCATAAACATAGATGCCTACACGGCAGCACAGCTGTATCTCTCGGATCACAGAGGCATACAATGCACTCGTGATCCTCATCATCAACGTAATTTACCGCGTCATCCTCGTCCGCTGTGGGCGCATCTGGATCGTCTTCCTCTAATCCATATATTTCTTGCAGCATAAACACCACCCCACCCGAACATATCTTTTGTTTCATCACCGAGCATGAGAATTTAAACTCGGCGTTCTCCTCGAACGATGCAGTCGTGGTCATTGACTCTACAGCTTCATCTCTCTCGTTCAGAGCTTCCATCATAACTACCATGGGATATTGTGCCGGCATCTCCTTGAGCCATTTTCGTTCTGAGGGTGGTAAGTGTGAAGGTTTGACAGTGAACTCCGTCTCTTCGAATTCCTGGTTGAAGCCAGCTTCATAGTAGAAAGGCTCCGAGGTAAAACGAGACTTCAGGGCGAGTTTTTTGCTGCCATCAGTGTATTCTGTAGCACCCAAGTGAATTATAAATCGGACCCTGCACACGCTGTCGAATCGGAACCTCAGCCAGTACTGATACAGTTTGGCATCATCTTCTTCGTACAATGCAGTGTCACTAGTGTGTTTATCGTCCGGATTGAATTTTGCCGAAATCGCTGCGGACACATTAGACAACAGCGAGTTAATACATAGAACAGGGTATAGGCAACTATAATCTTAAACATAGCACGCAGTAAACCGAATTTTTTTGTCAGCACTCAGTGCATCCCTAAAAATATATATTGAATAAATACCAATCATGAACACGTGCTGCCTATACCTGGGGACATAGTATCGTGACTGGCAGTGCCAACTTCACTTGTTGAGTTTGTATTCCCGCTGTCATCTGCGCCTCCGGCAGAAGTACTCGCTGATTGTACGATATAGAATCCACACGCAAATTAGCACCATAACATCAAATTACCCGTGTAAAAATTGTGTTATGCCGTGACTGCGACAAGTAGAGACACTGCAATATCGAGCGACTACCAAATAACAAGCTGCGACTTACGTGCATCCGGATTTTTAACGCGTGCTATCCTCAGCGAAGATCGATGTAAATTTATACCGCATTGTACGGCATCTGTGCGTGAACCATTTTCAGCCGATTCGAGCATGCCCTCCTATACGATAAAACAGGAAGGTCCCAACTTATGGTTTGTTATCGTATGATGATTGCATACTAACAAGACAAAAGAGAATATAATCACCAATATAGTGGTTTGTTCAGAAACAGAACATACAGTAACTTGTTTGATTGCATGCTAAAGCTGAATGGAAATACCTTGACCACTGTGGGGTTGCCAAGATGCGCAAGATCAGTAATCGGTCCAAACAAGAACGCCTTCAAAGAAGGAAACGCTTCCCCACCCATAAAGAACTGGGAGGCAAACAATTTACCTGCAGCATGTAATAGAAAATATTTTTGAACATTGAATCTCAGTGAAAATAACAGCAACCATCAAATTGTAACAAGAAGTACAACCAAACAAACAGAAACAGACATAAATATAGATATAGGTACAGATAAGGATATATGTATAGATATCGTTATAGACACAGACATAGATATGGTTATATATATATATGTATATATAAAGGTATAGATTATAAATATATATATATATATAAATATATATATATATATATGTGTGTGTGTGTGTGTGTGATGTGTGTGTGTGTGTGCGTGTTTATGTGTGTGTGTATGTGTATACATACATACATACATACATACATATATATATATATATATAGTTGTAATAATATACTATC